CTTCATGATATAGAAAATAGAGAAATATAATTGCAACATGAAATTATTTGAGGATGGTATGTCAAAAGTCTGTCCTTAAAGGCCTATTAGAAGGGTATATTTTAGTTGTATATGAGGAATACAAAAAATTCTCATGGACCCTAAAAGAAGGGTCTTTAAAAGATTTAAAAGATTTTAAATCTTTGGTAGTACACTAATTGAAAGCAACAGGCCCTGTAATGTGAAGTACCAGTAGTAAAAATGGCCCTTGAGAAAATAGATCCAGATGTGATTGAATTTATTCTAGTCTCGTTTTAAGTGAGATATGTTCTTTTATTAGGATAATTGTGATATTTGACCCTGTATCAGTAAATCAGCCCTTAATGGAAAAGATACTTAATAGTTGCAATTAAGGCAATATGTTTAGAATCTGCAAAAGCAAGTTTTGTTAAAGGTATTTTATCATATTACTCTATACTGGTCTTTAATGCCAAAAGTGATAAAATGAAGTGATTTTTTTATGCAAGATAATTTGGAGATGCATTCAACTGAATTGATGTCATTTGACTTAGAATAAGTTTTGTTTCATGTTTTAAATACATAATACTGTGTATGTTATTGTGTTTCTAAATTTTCTAGTATTGTGAATTTTGGGAAACCATTGTATAAGAAATACTGTTAAGAAGATGATGCAATTGTGTCATTAGAAAGTTTAACTCCTTTTGATCTGGATACTGTGAAATTATTAATTGTTATCAGAAGCTGTTATAATGTTAAAACATATCAAGTATTTAATTGGTTATATTTTAAAAGGGAAGAATAATAATTACTTTATGGGAAAAGGGAGAAAAAAAGATGACCTTGTAACATCTCCTTACTTATAAACTTGCCAGGTTCCTTGGGACCTTCTGCTTGGGCAAGGTCATAAAATATTATTGGCCCTGTAAAAGAACTTGCTAAATGTTGTGAAGTTCTAAAATAATAAATTGGCTTACTGAGACAGTGGGATCCCCTCTTCCATCACAAACACCTCTTGCCAAAGTGGAAGGAGGAATTTACAAGTTTTCATATAGTATAGAAGTGATTTATTTGATGATTTGTGATAATGAAAATTATGAGATTATACCTGGATGTAGCTAGTGTTTTTCTGGATTTTGAGTGAACTATCATATATTCACTATCTTTGTGGAATTCCAGAATATAATTATTTTCTTAATTTCTAATGATTGATTTTATACCAGGATGAGTTTAAACTCAAAAAATAAGAAGAAGGAAAAAAGGATATTGAATGATTTTTTTTTGGAAAGGCCTGGTAAACTTTTTATTCTTTACTATCAATGAAACAACATGAGAGAAATAATAATAACTGTATCGAGCCCTAAACAGTAATTAGTGAAACTTGATATTTGAGGTAAAATCTCTTGGGACTGGAATTTTATATTAATTTGAGTTTTGAATTCGAGTATAAGTGCTTGAATTATCATTAAATCAGTAAGCCACTATTAGAAGGAAATGCTATGAGCTATTCAAAGAGAGTGTGATCTGAGAACTGCTACAGGTATATGTCTGTGTCTGAGAAATTTGAGAGGATGTCTTTGCATAGGCAAAGAAAGGATCCTCTTAACTCATTGTGTTATTTCCTTTCTGAATAGGAATGTTTCCCATCTGTTTAATCCTGAGCCTGACTTTGATGCCTTGTGAATAATGTAGAACTTTGCTGTATAATTGGCTGCTCCAAAAAGTTAACTATGACTTACCTGAAATTAAACAGAACTAAGGATGTTTTATCCTGTTTTTCCTATGTTAAGCCACTCTGTGCACTTAGGCTTAGACTTGGAACACCAGTTTTGATGTTGTTAGAATCATATCCTTCCTTCCTTTCATAGCAAATCCATCTAACCTTGGCAGATAAAACTGTAATTTTAAAAAAATACAATGAATCTTGTTGTTACAATGCCCAAGCACTCTGAATTGCTATAATGGGATATAAATTACCTTATTGTATAGCCTACTCCTTGTTCTTTCTACGACTCTGTTGTTTATAACGTTAGTTCCACAAGGTCTGAACTGGTTGTTGCCACATGAACTAATTATCAGAAAGCCAATATGATTAAGTGTTGTCAGGTTTTACTAAATTATCTAGCATTATCCAGAGAACCTCCACAAGTGACCTGGAACCTGGAGATAGTCAAGGAAATACCTACACAAATCTGTCCTGATACATGCACAGAAGCTTAACAGATGCATAGGAGGTGCTTGCCAGATACATGAAGATCATGGACACTGCCAAAGGACTTGATACCCCTAAAGCTACAGTTATATTGAATTTCTTTATTCATCCTATTGTAATATTGCTTGTTCTATTAGTTCTTTGTGTGTTAATGGACCTATTCTCTATTCTGTAAGCTTTTTACCATTTCTACTTGGACTGATACTGATTTAAGAATTGTTAAAAAAAAATTATGAAACTATCAGTAGTCTCAAAGGGGGAATTTGTGGGTAGCAAAGAAAGAAAAAATGATTCCATTTTGTGTTTGGTTCCTTTATCTTGCCCCAACCCTATTTGTAATGCAACTTTTACCTTGTCTTCAACCTTCATTACTACTGAAACAGCAAGGACAATCCTATCTGTTAGGGTGGGTTACAAGAGATTGTTAACCTGAAGAATAACCTTTCCTGTTCCTAGCCCCCAGCAAATGGCCTGTTCAAAGCACATCATGTCCCCTATTCCTACCCTGCCAGAGCCCCCACCTCCAGCAATAGTCTTGTCCAATCCTGAGGTACGTCACACCCAATTCACCACTTGCCTAAATTGAAACCTATGTAAGCTTTGTCCTTTTGTTCCTTCAGGGAGGACCTCTTTAAATTCACACATCCATAGATAGCAAGGAAGATCCAAAGGACAGAAGTCCATCCATTCTCTGAAAATAGTAGCTTAGGATACTTTCCAAGCAATTTTGCTCAGCTGTACAGAGGCATAAACTTCCAGAGAATGCTCAACTTTGGACCTTTCCTGTTGATTAGGAAACTAACTAGAAGCATGGTGAGGGAGTTAAATAAGAGAATAAACGAAACTTTGATGGGGGAAAAAGTATTAACAACGGGGAGATTAGGGAAGATTTCACATAGAAGGTGGCAAATGAACTGTGAACCTTGAAGGGAGATAAGTATTCTGAGAGGTAGAGAGGAGGAGTATATTTTAGTCATGGGGGGCGCTATTCAAATGCATTGAGGCAAGAGATGAAATATTAAGTTCAGGTAAAAATGAATAGCCTAGTTTTACTAGAACATAGAGTGTTTAAGGAAGACTAATGTTAAATAAAGTCATAAAGGCAGATTGAAACCACATTGTAGAAGGTCTTAACTGGCATGCTGAGTAGTTTTATTTTATACAATAGGCAATAGTGAATTACTGTAGGTGTTTTTGGGTGGTGGTTTTTGTTTTTGTTTATTAGCATGTGATTGACATGATCAAACCTCTGCTTTAGGATGATTATTCTGACATTTGTGTAGGGGATGGACTGGAGACAGAAGAGATCAAAATTAAGGAGACCAATTAATTAATTGACCAATTAATGGAGTAAATAGAACACCGGGCCTGGAACCATGAAGACCTGAGTTCAAATTAGTGACTGTGTGACAAATCATTTCACCTCTGCCTTAGTTTCCTCATCTGTAAAATGGAGAGAATAATAGTACCCCCCCCCCGAGTTGTTGTGAGATCAAATGAGATAATAATAATTGTAAAGCTCTTAACAGTGCTGTGCTTGGCACATAGTAAGTGCTATATAAATGTTAACTAGTATATTACTAATTAGCAGGCTACTGTGGTAGCCAAGGTCAGAGATGTTGAATCCCTTAACAAGGACAATAGCTATGAGAGTGGAAAGAAAGGGGCATATGTGAGAGGTAGACTTATTTGACAACAGATTAGATATAGGTGATAAATGGAGTGGAGAGTCAAGGATAATTCCAAGGTTTCAAACCTGGGTGACTAGAAGGATGGTAGTGTGTTCTGTAGATATTGAGTAGTTTGGAGGAGGACGAGGTTAAGGATGAAAGGAGGTAGGGTATTTGACATAATGAGTTTGGGATGACAATGGGACATTCAATTAACAATATCCAACAGACAATTGGTGATATGGCAGTAGAATTCAGGAGAGAGATTAGTGATCAATACATACATTTGGAAATTATTTATATAGAAATAATAATTGATCCCACTGGAGCTGATGAGATCACCAGTGTAGAGATGTAGAGAGAGTAGAGAAATGGAACCAGGTTAGAGCCCTTGGGGGATAGTGATTAGGGGTGAGGAAATGAATGATGATCCGGCAAATGAGTCTGTAAAAGAATTATCAGGAGAATCAAGAAAGTACATTTACACAGAAGCCATGGGATACTTTGTAGGGCATCATTACCAAAAGCTGAATAGAGTCCATGTATATTACTCCTTTGCCTTGCTTTTATTTTGTTCGTATTGCCTTTTCTCTTTAAAATGTCTCTTCCCCTTTTATATGCCTATCCAAATGCTATACATCCTTCAAGGTTTCACTTCCTCTATGAAGTCTCCCTTCTCTAAATACCCCATTGTGATCTCTCAGACACTCAAACATATATTATTTTGTATTAGTCTTTGCTTCATATGCATTAATCTTGTCTTTCCCATGACAGTATAAACCCTATGATGATAAGGACCATGTTTTTTATTTCTTTTATATACCCTACAGGAGGAATAGTATGGTGTTAAAGCCAGGATGACATAGGTCAAAGTCTGCCTTTCACACATACTTCCTATGTGACCCTGGGCACATCTCTTAATTTTCCAGTGCTCTGGGCACTTATGTCAAGCTATAAGTTGCAGAGAAGATGCTGACCTGCATTGGCAGAGAGGGTTTCCTTACCTGGGAGTTTCTTATACCAGGTGTAAAATCACAGATCCATTCCCCATCACTATAATTACTATTAGAAAATTGTAAATAGTAGTAAAATGATGAAAATTTCATTTCATTTTCTTCCAGACTTTGGTGCAAATTTTCAAAATGATGAGTTCATAGAAAATATTACGAACATTGCAGATAATGTGTTTTTACCAGGTGCGTTTAAAATTGTATCACTGTGCTAATTATAGTTTGTTGAATATACTTAGCTCTGTATTTTGTTGTTTGGTTGTTTCAGTTGTATCTGACTCTTTGTGATTGGGGTTTTCTTGGCAAAGATATTGGTGTGGTTAGCTATTTTCTTCTCCAGCTCATTTTACAGATGAGAAACTGAGGCAAACAGGATTAAGTGACTTGCCCAGGATCACACAGCTAGTAAATGTCTGAAGCTAGACTTGAACTCAGGAAGATGAGTTTTCATGACTTCAGGCCCAGCACTCTATCCACTATGCCACCTAGCTGCCCTGGCTCTGTAGTTTACTACCATGTTAGTTACAGTAATTACAATATCAATAATAATAACTCACCTACTTATAATACTTTATGGTTTAATGAATAGCCCTGTAAGATAGTTGGAAATTATACTTAATAAAAAATAACTAACCTTTAGAAAGTAGTGCCATAGTATCTTTTAAATTATTTGTGTGAGACAATATGCTTCCGAACTCTGGGAATCAGTTTTACCATTAACTCGTTGTGGGACCTTTGGCAACTTATATGATCATTCTGACCCTTGGTTTCCTCATTTGTAATATGAAGAACTTGGATATAGATGGCATTCTTGATCAGGTATAGGTTGCCCTTGATGACCTCTTAGGACCCATTCTGCTTTGAGATTCTGAGTCTATTCACCAAAGAAGGTGACAATAATGGGATGACATAAAATTCAGTATATAGGTTTAAGACTTGGTTTTGCCACTTACTAGCTAAGTGACCTTGGACAATTCACTTAAAATCTCTCAATCCCAGTTTCCTCATCTATACCTTAATGATAACAATACTTGCCCAACCTACCTCAAAAGGTTGTTGTGAGAGTCAAATGAACTATTTATAATATACTTTTTAATAATCCCTTTCTATTCAACATTTAATAAATCATGTAATCATTGAGTTTCAGAGTTGATGTTGACCCATACAGATGACCTTAGAAGATATCTAACCAACCCTTTACCTGATCATAAATCCTTTGCAAAGCAGTCCTCCAGATTCTTCTTTGAATCTGGTCTTTCAGGTTCCAAATTCATCTCTCTCTCAGGCCACTTCTCTCCATCTTGTCCACAAGGATATTATGAAAGTCAGTCAGTAAATAATGAAAGGCTTTGACACATGCCTTGCTTAAACTTTAAGTATATTATCTGTATGGCATTCTCCTAACAGTCTAATCACTTTGTCAGAAAGAAATGAAGTTAAGTCAAACAAGTCTTGCTCTTGATGAAGGCACATTGACTCATAATTATTGCCATTTCCCTTTCCAAATGCTGTGCGTTGGTCTAGTTGATCAAGTTCTTTGTGGGTTCAATGAAAAGACACACTCATTAAAAGTGTTGAATCGTTTAATGGAGATAATTGAGAAATGGTATTCAGCTATTTGAGTCACATCTGACCCAGAACACCTGGCTCTGGGGTACGTTGCTGTCTCCTCCAACTGAGAGGGCTGTAAACCGTTCAGGACAAAAGTTGGAGTGTGGTGACCATATCTTCAGTTGCTTCTCTATCAAAGCCTCAGTAGAAGCAGTATCTGTCAGGGCAACACCAGCTGTTCCAGGAAACCAAAGCCCAGAGAGGTTGTGATTAGTTTAAGATTATAGAGATATGAGTAATTAGCAAATTCAGGATTTGAATCAGTAGTTATCAAAATTGGATTTGACTTCAAATCTAGTGCTCTTTTCACTCAAGCAAGGTTCAGAATCATAGAGGGGGCAGAAAGGTTAGGTCAGCCAGACAATAAGAGAGGAAGAGAAAATAAAACAGGTCAGACAAACTAGGTATAGAGTGGTTAGACACCGAGCTTAAGTTGAGGCAAAGACAGGATCATTAGCAGCTATGCGGATAAGCTGTTTCTCTGGAGACAAAGGCCACTGCATTTCTGAGGTTGTTTTTCTATTTTTTATCATTGGCCACCTAGGGCTACCGTAGTTGCATCTAGGAATAATCCTCTGGATATTAAAGAGGTTTTGCCCTGTTAAGGTTTTAAAATGGGGAATTATTCTAATGTGCACAAGACCTGTAAGTTTCATAGCAAAGGCAGAACCCCACATCTTTTGCCCTGATTCGAGGCTCATTGAGGGTCCTGCATTTCTAGCAAGTCCGTCCTCTAGGTCAGTGGGTTAGGTTTGTGAGGGTACCTTTGTATGTATCAGGCCAGATTGCTAGTCCTTTCTGCTAGGAAATCCTAGCATTTACCCTATGTATCCAATCTGTTGCCAAATCTTGTCATTTCTATCTCTTGAATATATCCTCTTCTCTTCAGTCACACAGACCCCTCTCTTCACAGGCACCTTCACTTCAAGCCTAGACTATTGTAATAGGATTCACCTATTGAATCTTCTTTCCTCAAGTCTCTTCCCATTTCAGTTCTTCTTTCAGGGAGCAGTCACTGAAGTATGGGTCTGATTATGTCGCCCCCCCACCCCGGGAATAAACTTAAGTGACTTCCTATTACCTAGGATTAAATATAATATTCTCTGTTTTGGTTTTACAACCCATCATGACCTGTCCCTTCCTATATTTCCAGTCTTTTACACTTCCTTCCCTTCTACATACTTTATAATCCAGCAGTACTGGCCTTATTGTTCCTCCCATGTGACAGTCTTTCTTCAGACTTTGCACCTTTTCTTTGCCTGTCCCCCAGGGCTAGAATGCTCTCCTTCTCACTTTGGCCTCCTGGGTTCTCTGACCTCCTTTCAAGACTAAGCTAAAATCTCACCTTTGAGAGGCTTTTCCTGGTCTTCTCCCCACCCCAACCCTCCAATATCTTCCAGAAGAGATTAGAGTTCATTTACACTGCATATATTTTGTATACAATGTTAATATGTTGTCTCACATTTAGAATGTGAACTCCTTGAGGGCAGGGGACATGTTCTCGCCTTTCGTTGTATCTCCACTGCTTAGCACAGTGCCTGACACATAGTAAATGCATAGGACACATTTCTTGATTATTGACCAAGTGTTGCCCACTGTCAAATGTGAACTACCAAAGCCTCCCACCAGAGGTCTCCATTCATCCGGGAAGACTGTCAGCCCATGATATTCAGGTAAAACCCAGGGAAGGCACACAAATTCGCACACAGAGTATAACATGGAATAGGAGATGCTGATGTTGATAGCCTTGTATAAGCTTCTAATGGTTAAGTCAGAATTCTTGTGTGAATCTTATGTGACTCCCTAGCATTTCCAATTTCAGGGGAGCACTGGTAGGAAAGAATGGCTCTGGAGAACCTTCATTTGTTTATGTCTGTGGGGTTAAGGAAGCTAAGAAATCAGTCTAAGTCAGATAAATCACTGTGGAAATCTGCTTATGAGTTCATTCATCCTCAGGTCTGCTGGCTACCATGTACCTGAGAAAACATTATCTGACAGGTTTTTCCTCCTTGGTTAGGGAATAACAGCAGGGAAAAGAATATAGGCTTCTGAAAGAATGAGTTTTATTAATAGCTTACAATTTGTGTCCTCATATCCCTTCTCCTTTAAAACAGCATCAGTCAATCAACATTAAGTGCCTACTATGTGCTAGGCACCGTCTTAGCCTTTGAATCAGTTGATACAATGAGAGTTTCAGTCATTAGTCTTGGATACCAGATTTCGTCTACAAGACATACTGTCTTTCAGCATCAACCATTACAATACATCATTAGCATTCTAGACTTTTCCCTTTTTACTGTATTAACAGATTAGTCATAAACATTGCCTAATGAGCATCTTTTTGCATATATGTCCACACCATCTTCTCTGCCATGTGCCTGGTTTTACTCATTCTGACGCCAAATGAGCTCAGTACAAGGTTCAACCCCCTCTCCTCATGAGATATGGCCTTTATTAAATCTTTAAAATTTTTTGTTTTTCATTATTTCCCTATTATTATTCCCTTAGATTCTACTGGATTAAAGGATCTTCAGTTTCAAGAAATGTTTAAAATATTTGAAAAACAGGCAATTAAGTTGCAACGGTAAGCATTATTCAAATAACTAACTTTTTATGGCTGGTAATTTTAAACGTATTTGTTGTATCTTTCTCATTCTGTTGTAGATTGGATGAATCTTATAATAAAAACATGAACAGCAATAAGAATAACAAACTATAATCTCTTTAGTACTTTATGATTATATAAATATAACTTTTGCTTAGCTGTAATTAATGTGTGTAAATCATTATCATTTCTATTTTTTCTGTATTTTACTATATCTAGAGAGGCTTCTCTAAATGCATACATTATATTTGTGATTTTTAATGGCAGAATAGTGCTCTATTTGCTAATACATCATAGATCATCGATCTGGGGCTGCAATGGATCTTAGAGAACAGCTAGTTCAATCTCATTTTACAGATGAGCCAGACAGTGTGCTCGCTTTATTAAGCACTTACCCTGCTAAGCATTGGAGATGCAAAGAAAGGTAAAAAAAAAGTTCCTGTTGTCAAGGAGCTCACAGGCTAATGGGAGAGACAACATGCCAACAAACTTGTATAAATGAGATATAATAGACAAGAAAAGTTGGAGGGAGCCTCAGAGGGAAGGCACTACAATTAAGGAAAAAGCTTCTTATAGAAGATAGGACTTTAGCTGAGACTTGGAGGAAGCCAAGGAATTCAGGCAGCAGAGGTAAAGAGGGAGAGCATTCTGGGCCTAAGTGATGGCCGGTGAGGCCAGTATCCCTGAATTACAGAGTGTGCGGATAGGCTATAAGGTGTTAGAAGCCTGGAGAAGTAGAAAGGAGTCAGGTTATGAAGAACTTCAAAAGTCAAATGGAGGATTTTATATTATATTCTGGAGGAAATAGGGAGCCACTGGAGTTTTTTGAATAGGAAACTGGAGTGGCAGGGTATGTGTGATATGGTCAAGTCTGTGCTTTAGGAAGATAGGTGACAACTGAGTAGAGGATGGATTGGAGTGGAGAGAAACTTGAGGCAGGAAGACCAGCCAGCTGGCTCGTGCAGTAGTCCAGGTGCGAGATGATGAGTGTTAGAGGAAAGAAGGGAAAGATAGTACAAACATCACCCTCAGCTCGAAGGTTATTTGAATAATACTCTTTTTGTTGGTGGAGATTGAGTATTCTCCCTTCTGATTGGAGGGCTGGAAGTTGAAGCAATAAATGCTACCCAAAGCCTTCATTTATAGAGGGCTCAGAACTTTCCAGGTCACTCTCCATTCTCCGTCAGTGTCTCTGCTTGATTCCAACTCTACAGAACATCATACCCCTGGTGCTTCCTATTCTCCCCCCACATTTTTCAGCATCCTTTTGTGTATCATCTTCTCTTATTATATTGTAAGCTCCCTGAGGGCATGGAGTATCTTTATTTTTCTTATTTGCCTCTCCAACACTTAGCAAGTACTAGGCACATAGTAGGAACATAATGAATGTTTATTTAATTGAATTGAACTGAAAAATTATTCAGTGATCTTAACTTGTGTGAGAGGTGGAATTGGTGAAAGTTTGAGAGGAAAGATGGAAGCCTGAAGATAGGATCTCTCTTTCCTGTCGTGTGCTTGCCAAGTCTACTCACACAGTCTAAGAACATTGATTAATCCATCTCTGTCAACAAGGAAACTCCCATTCAGATGACCTTTGAGCCTTGGGTTATATTTCTACCCTGGGCTGAAACTTTTTACAACCCTTTACAAATGTCCACCAATGAAGAGAATGTCAGGAATGACACCTCGGTAGTGAGCCCGGGTGACTTGGTTGGTTGATTAGTTGTTTGGTGCCTAGAAGGATGGTGTTACCCTCAACAGTACTAGAACAGTCAGGAACAGGGGAGGGTTTTGGGAAAAAGATGATGAGTTCAATTTGGGACATATTGAGTTTAAGATATCTGTAGGACATCCAATTCAGTATTTCCAATGGGTATGTGGTGATGCAAAGGTCAGGAGAGAGGTTACAGAATGACAGGTACATTTGAGAGTCATCTGCATAGGTATTATAATTGTAATCAAGGGAACTGATGAAGTCATCAAGAGTGGTGATATAGGGGAGGAAGAGAAGAGGGCTCAGGAGAGAGCCACTAACTAACACAGTGGGCATGTCTTAGATAAATATGTAGCAAAAAATCCAGACAAGGAGTGATCAAACAAATAGAAAGAGAACCAGGAAAGAGCAGTGTCATGTAAACCTAGAGAAAATAGAATATCAAAGACAGTGCTGGGTACATAGTAGGTGCGTAATAAATGTTTATTGAATTGAATTGAAATTGAGAAGAGGGTAAGTGACAGTGTCATAGGCTATAGAGACCGAGAAGGATGAAGACTGAGAAAAGGCTGTTAGATTTGCCAATTAAGAGATCATCAGATAAGGAAACTGATGACCAGAGTAGTTAAATTATTTGTCCAAGGTTATTCATATAGTAAATGTGGCAGAACCAGGGATTGATTCCACATCCTCTGACTCAAAATCAATTATTTCTTCCCCTCCTTCCTTTACCCCTTCTTTTCTCCCTTTCTCCCTCTTCTCTTCCTTCTTCCCTTCCTTTTTTCCTCCCTTCTGTCCTCTCTTTCCTCCTTCCTCCCTTTTTCTCTTCTTTATTTCCTTTTAAAATATGTACTATTTCATCAATTTTGTTTCATCTGTGGGCAGGGGCCATGTTAATCTTCTTTGTATAATTCGAATTTTAGTGTATTGCTGCCAAAGCAAGCACAATGCAATGATCTTTCCATAATACCATTTCCCAACTGTTGAATATTTGTGTTCCCTCCATATTTTTTGCTACTCTATGTATAGCCAACCCATGAGCATCATTGTAGAACTTTTCTTTTGAATCAATTCCTTGGTGTGTGTGTGTGTGTGTGTATGTGTGTGTGTGTGTGTGTGTGTATTCCCAATAACAAAATTGCTAAGTTAACCAATATAATCAGTTTTATGATTCTGAATATGTACTACCAGATGGTCCTCCAGAAAACCCCACATTTATTTGCCTTGCTACTAGAAATGTATACATATTTTCCCATAATCTACTCAACAGATTTTTAAATTTTAACTAATTTTGCTAGTTAAATGAATGTGAAGTGATATTCTCCAGTTGATTTAATTTGTATTTGTTTATTGGTGAGGTTGATCATATTTCAGATGTTCATTTACTATTTCTCTTTTCTCCTCTGTAAGCTGCTTATATCCTTTGACTCTTTGCATGAACATGAACAATAGTTTGCATTTTATCTTAGGGGCAATAGAGAGCTATTAATAATTTTTGAGCAGAACAGAAACATGCTTAGACCTGTGTTTTAGGAATTTGGCAGCTATGTGGAAGATAGATTAAAGACAGAAGAGACTTAGAGGCAGGGAGACTAATTAGAAGGCTATTGCAAAAATCCATATGAGGGGAGATGAGGGCCTGAACTAGAGTGGTGACCTTGAGAGTAGAGAGGAAGGGATGAATATAAGGGAGATTATGTAAGTAAAATGGAAAAACTTGGCAACTGATTGGATGTGTGGGATGAGGGAGAATAAAAAATCAAAGATTACTCTGAGATTGAGAATAGGGAAATTACGAAGTCCCCGGTAGGCTTCCCTACCCAGCTTCCCCATCCACCCTGGCAGAACCTGAGCTGCTGCTCGACTCCAACATCCACCTCTGGGTGGTCCTGCCCATTGTCTTCATCACCTTCTTCGTGGGCATGATCTGCTGTAGAGCAACAAGAAGCTCACCCAGGAGCAGGTGTCCCACAGTCAAGTCTTAATTCAAAGTAGAGTCCTCAGGGAAAATGGAAAATATATTCCCAAACAGTCTTTCTTGACATGAAAGTATTATTTGAACACCCCTGAGGGTGGATTTTTCAAAAGAAACAAAGAGGAAAGTAGTTCTGCTGTCTCTTATGACAGATCCTACCACACTCACAGACATGATGAAAAGAAATGTAACAAATGTACTTCCTGTGGTTCTTATTGGTGATGGATCGACATGACTTTCTCAGGATTTGCAACAACCAAGGTCCCATTTCCTCTGACCCTCCGATTTAAACCCCTGCTATAGCAAGGAATTGAATTGCTACTTTAGATGCATACTGGTGGAGTTCTGCATCGTGGTACTTCCTCAATGTGTTTGGACTGTGAAGCATTTATTCCCTCATTCTGGGCCAAGGCAATACTGCAGACTAATCTCGAGTGATGCAGGAGCAGCAATGATCATGCCTGCAGACACTAGCAAAGCTTTTAAGACTGAGTGGGAATCTTTGGAGGTCACTGATCATCAGTAGGCACTTGATGATGTTGAAGAAGAGCTCATGGCCCAGGATCTCCACTTTGAAGGCATGTTCAGAAGGGAGCTGCAGACACCGCTTTTCTGAAGGGCCAGGCAGTGGTTAAACCAACGCTGGCATCTCAGGCACACTGCTAGGGGCTCAAGGAAATCGTAAGAGTTTTGTTGTTGTTGTTGTTGTTGTTGTTTGTGTTTGAAAAACTCAGAATAAGAGAAGTCTGGGCTGAACACCTGAAAAAAAAAAGAAAATAAGGAAATCAGAGGACTGATTGGGTTTAGATAATGAGTTATGTTTTGGAAAAGTTAAATTTGAGATATTTATGAGTTATGTAGACAGAAAGGTCTATCAGGGAGTTGAACATGTAGGCCTAGAGCCCAAGAGTGAGATGAGGACTCAAAATGTGTGTTTGGGAGTCATTTGCTTAGAGATGATGATTGAATCAATGGGACTTAATGAGATCACTAGAGAGAAAACGTAGAGAGAGAAGAGGGTCCCAACAGGACTCTAAGGTACATTCACACTAGGGAAATGGGTCATTTATGATGATCTTACAAAAACTGGTGAGAAGAATTGGTCAAACAGTAGGAGGAGAAACAGGAAATAGAAGTGTTATAAATACTCATGAAGGACAGGGTATGTAGAGTCAATAGTGTTAATACTGAAAAGAATTCAGAAAGGATAAGAATTGAGAAAGCTTTGAGAAAACTATCCCTGAGTATCAGTGGGAGGGGACCCACGACAGGAATATTGTTCTAGATTGGGTATCCCAGTGGACATCTATGCCAGGTTCAAGGTACTCTTTGGGTCTGTACCCCTAAAAACGTGGATCATGAGCCTCAACCAATATGAATACCTTTAATAAGCAGTATACACAATTAGTTCAAAGCACACAAAATTAATGAAATGGCATAGTTAGAATAGTAGCAACAAAATGTTTCCCTGGTAAACCTGTGGGTTGTAGGAGAGTGCATGTCCAAACAAACACTAAAGAGGATCACAGACAATAAAATGAATGATTTTGATTAAATAAAATCAAAGATTTTACTCAAATAAAACCAATACAGTTAAAATTAGAATGGAGATGGTTAACTGGGAAAAATTTTGCAGCAAGTTTCTCTTGTCAAGATCTGATATCTAAGATATATTATCAGCATATGGACAAATATACCAGTATTATATGCTGATGACTCAAAAGTTGTAATAATGATAGCCATTTTCTAATAGATAAATGGTCAAAGGAGATGAATAGATAACTCTCAAGGGAAGAAATCCAAGCTTTCAACAATAAAAAGTATGAAAAAAGTACTTCAAATCACTCATAATTAAGGAAATGAAAATTAAAACAACTCTGAAGCTCTACCTCTTATCTATCAGATTTGCAAAGATGACAAAAAAGGAAAAATGACAGTTGTTGGAGGGGCTGTGGGAAAACAAACGTGCTACACTGGTGGAGCTGTTAATTGGTCCAACTATTCTGAAAAGCAGCTTGGAACTGTTGCTCTCTCTCTCCCCCTCTCCCCCAATCAACTATACATACCTTATGACCCAGAGACACAATACTAGGCCCTTCCCCTCTTCCCCCAGAGATCAAAGAAAGAAGAAAATGTGTACAAACATATTTATAGTAGCTCTTTTTGTAGTGGCAAAGAACCGTAGACTAAGGGGAGTGCTTATCAATTGGGGAATAACTGAACAAATTTCATCATGTGATTGTGTTCTGGGCTATGCTTATTTTGGGCCATGCCTTCTAGTAGTTTAGGTCTGATATTGTCATGAAATGAGACATTTGTAGGCCATTCAGCCATTAACAAAAGGAGATGTACTTGATTATATCAGGGGAAGGATGCATCAGTGACATGTTGAGTTGATTCAGCAGAGTGAAACTGTCATATCTCTGAGTTGCCCATCATAGTCTATTTGACAAACCTCAGATAATACCTGGAACTCCTTATAGATGTTTTATGCATGGTGACCAGGAAGTAATGCCAATAACCTGAGCCATTAGTCCTCATGCCCAACCAAGTCTCAAGGAGGGTTTAAATACTTTTTAAGGAAAAACTAGCCCTACCTTACATGAAAATGGAGGTAGGGGTATTAGGATATTGTTGTACCATGGAATGTAATGGAATATTATTGTGATATAAGAAATAGTTAAAGAGATGATTTCAAAAAAAATTAGGATGACTTGAATGAAGTGGTGCAGAATGAAGTGAGCAGAACCTGGAAACAATTTTTACAGTAACAGTATTGTAAAGAAAAACAACTTTAAAAGATGTAAGAACTGATTAATGCAATGAATCAGCCATGATTCCAAAGGACTAGTGATAAAATACATTACCTACGTCCTGACAGAGACGAAATGAAATCAAGGTACAGAATGAGATCTACATTTCAGACATGGCCAGTGTGGGATTTATTTTGCTTGACTATACTTATATGATACAATGATTTTATTTTATTATTATTTCAGTTTAGGAGGAGAGGGATTAGCAATAGGATTACTACAATGAAAAATTAAAAGTAAGAAAAAAGAGTCATTGAAGCATATAAAATGCATAAAAGAGAAAAGAATGAAGGTCATTGGAAAACACAGACAAGCAGGTCAGCTTTGGGGATATAACATGTTGAATCATATCCTTAAAGAGAAAAGCAAGCTGTTCATAAAACCAATTTATGCCTTCATGTGTGATCCTATCTTTCATCTTTGTATGGAGATATTTATCTCATTTGATGTTAGTTGAGTTGATGATTAAAAAGCTCAAAAACAATAAAAACCACCACCAACAAAAAAGATTGGAGAAATGATGCTGCAAATATTGTATCTTTTTTTTTTTTAGGAGGATGAAAGTAGAGTCTAGTGGGGTTAACTTATGTAACAACCATTCAGGAAATGCATGGATTGGATGCCTTTCAAAGGGGCATAGTTGCTAAAGACCACGAGGGCTATCTTTCTTCCTAGTTTTATAAGAGACAAAGCTATCATGAGATCAGAACTGATGGCAGAGTTTCCACTGTAGCAGCAATTTTTAAATCTTTCTGAAGAGAGACTAGAGAGAGATTTGGAGAGAGTGAGCAGTAAAGATGAGAATGGCTGCAGTTGGTGTTTCCCCCTTATTATTGCCTAAACACAGTCAAAACTGGTTACCACTAAGAGTTTCTTTTATTTAAAATACTTGCTTACTGGTTATTTATATTTTAATGATGGTGTTAGATAAGCCTAAGATAATTTTTGTTGCACCCTAAATTAGTGGATAAGGGGAAAAGCAATGAATAATTGACTCCATCAGATTCAGCCAGCTGGGAGAGCACCTTCCAGTTTGACAGTTAGGAGATTGCCTTGGGAACATGGCAGAGTAGCAGGGAAGAGTACAGTGAGCCCCCTTGTGGAAACTCCCACAAACTGATAGAGAAAACACGCCAGACAGAATATTAATTAGGAAATCCATTACCAGTCACAGTCACTTTTCCAGCCCAGGGTGGGCATAGGGAGATAGAGAGGTTTGTGGACAGGGTCTGGTCAGGAGTACAAATGGGGTACTATAGCCCAGGGAGAAGTTGTGCACCAGGGCAAGAGGAGGTCTCAGATCCATACAAGGGCACTGTGTGCAGGGTGCAGCGATTGACATTGTCATCCTGGGTCACAGATCGAGTAGATTGAGAAGGGGATCTATGCAGAGGGGTGGCAGACCCTAGGCTCTGCAAGAAGCAGTGATGTGATTCTGAACCCAGGAGCAGAGTGAGTTCTCAGTTCCAGCTTCTAGCCCAATGTGAAGTCTGCAGAGGATTTATGAGGCCAGGAATTACAGACCAAAGTGGAGCTTGTACTTTTGTCACTCTGAATCAGAAGAACTGACTGATTAGTAGTTGAGTCCAGTAGTGGTCTATTCTTTTTTTTTTTTTTTTTTTTGGTTAGGCAATGGGGTTAAGTGACTTGCCCAGGGTCACACAGCTAGTAAATGTTATGTGTCTGAGGCCGGATTTGAACTCAGGTCCTCCTGAATCCAGGGCTGGTGCTCTCCACTGCGCCACCTAGCTGCCCCAGCAGTCTATTCTTGCTCATACCTGAGACTAGGTCAGAAAGTTACAGGACTTAACCAAGAGGACAACATTCAGACTTTGCCCTAGCTCAGACCACTTTGGGAGCACTGACAGCTTGCAGGTGCTCAGCCTGAGCTGTCCCTGAGATCCTGGGGATGACATAGTATACAGTAAAGAAATAGCAATGTGACCAACCCAGACCTTCCCTCCAGAGTATGCAGAGCTTGGCCCTAACAGAAAGTCTGAAATCAGGAAGTAGGCTAGAAGATGAACAAAGAAAAAAAAGGAATCCCATCATAAAAAGCTATTATGCTGAAGGGATGCCCTAGACACAAGCAAAGAAGAAGTGACTACAAAATATTTAGAAGCAAAGCCTCAAAAATACAACTTGGACGTAAATTCAGCTAGAATTTCCAGAAGAGATGAGATAAGAGGTTTTTTTAAGAGCTAATTTTTTTTTCTAATAAATGAAATGTGCTAGAGGAAAAAATTGGAAAAGAAATGAGAGCTATAGAAGAAAGGATTGATAAGTGAATTAACAGCTCAGCAGAGGTACAAAAATCTTGTCTAAGCAATAAACCTGCTGAAAATTAGATTGGGCCAAAAAGAAACCAATAATTTCATGAAACAATAAGAAATAATGAAATAAAGCCAAAAGATTAGAACAAATAGAAGAAAATGTAAGGCATCTCATAGCAAAAACAACTGGCCTGGAAAACAAGAGAAAAATGTAAGAATAAATGGACTACTTGAAATTCATGACCAAAAAAATAACTTAGACATTTTAATTCAAGAAATGATAAACTACCCAGATCTTGAAAAACCAGTGAGTCAATAAGCATTTACTAAGTGCTGGGCACTGTTCTAAGTGCTGGAGATACAAATACAAACAGAAAGAAATACAAATAGTTCTCTTCTAATGGAGAAAGCTGAAAATATAAAAGGGAGATGAAAATCAGTACAGGTGGGGTGGGGAAAGAAATGGTAGAGAATGTCCTGTAAGTCAGTAGTATAGCCCAAAGATGAATAAAGAGATGGCTGTCCTGGGTCACCTCCTTAAATTGAAGGTTCTGGGAGGAACCAGCCAGTCAGGGGGAGAGATCATAGGAACAGAGAGTACTTTCAGTGTGAGAGAAGTGTGAGAGGTAGCCCTAAGGTGGATGAGCTTCCAGGGCAAAAAGGTTTCTATGGCATGGTAGACAAAGTCTACACGAGTCAGCAGTAGTCTCACCGCTAATTGCTTCTGTGTCCAGAGAATCTAGGGTTTTCCCTCTAGGCTGCCAATGTAAAACCTCATGTCAAATCACTTCCCTCCTTTCTTCACAAATGGCACAAATCAATTACTCCACTCTTGGAGATCCCAGAGGACAAAGTGCAAGTAGAAAGAAAACCCCAAAGGAAAACTCCCAGGAATATCATGGTCAAAATTCATAGCTTCCAGGTCAAAGAAAAAAGTACTACAAGCAATCAGAAAGAATTTAAGTACCAAGTAACTGTAGTCAGGATTGCACATGATTTAGCAGCCACCAGCACTAAGGAGCAGAAAGTTTGGAATATGATATTTCAGAAGGCAAAGAATATAGGTTTACAGCCAAGAATAACTTATCCAGGCCATAGAGGGATTCTAATTAGAAGTCCTGGCTGTTTCTGTTGTGTCTTTGTGATCTTAAGAGAAGAATGGAAGGAGAAGAGGAATATACTAGGGAGGAAAAGGAAAGAAAGATTAGAGAAAAATTACCTCTGCAAGTAGAAGTCTTTAAGGAAGCAGCTTCCCCCTCATTAGATTTTTCTTAAAGACTGGGGGACCACTTGTCAGTTATTTTAAGGGATATTCTTTTGTGTGTGTGTTGGACCAGGTGGTTATTGGGGTTCCTTCCAACTTTCAAATTCTGAGATTCTGTGACTAGGAAAAGTTCCTATAAAAATAAGATGTGGAAGTTTTAGTGGATTGTGAGCTTAAAAGTGATTAAACAGTGTGGTATGGCAGCTGTCAAAGGGAAGGCAAACTTATTATAGGTTAAAAGAGACATCTAAGTCTACTGAGTTTTCCCTTTGGCCGGATTTCATCTGGTATATTGTGTGAAAACACATGTTAATGTAATAGACATGTTTCCAAGGCTCCCTGAAAGTAACTAGGGTTAACAATCAGTGCCCATTGGTGAAGCAAGGAAATGTGTGCAAGCATACATTTCCCAGAGTTTTCAGGTTTTCTGTTTCCTTTGCCTTTGAAGAGACTTCCTGTTGCCAGTTTCATCAACTTGGGATGTAAAAGAAACACCTGTCTGAATTATATTTTGTGTTTTTATTTTGAATGTGGCCTATCAGTTTTGGGTTCTGCGTTAAGATGTGCATAAAGTGATTGTGCAAGAGATTTATGGATGTGGTTTATTGGAAAGATACATAAGAACAGTTATTATTTGTCAGTCTCTTGCTTTTGTGAATGCAGCCACAGCAGTCCCTGCATAGGCAGCCTCAGATGCCAATTTGTCACCCAACCCTAGATACTCAATTACTGGGAACATGGAAAGTCCCTTCACTAAAACAACCAGGAAATGTTCAGGGAGAAGTAAAAACCAGTGCCCTATGTAATGAATCATTCATTATCCCTTTGGTTTTATACCCCAAAGTAGAGATAGATGGAAAAGAATACTGGCAGTACCCTTGTGACATTTCCCTCTGTGGTCAGGGGCAAAATATCTCAAACAGAAATAGGAGTTCAGAAAAAACTTGTGACAAGATGTAGATCTCATCTATGGAGGTCAGGTGGGGAGGAGGTTTGTTTAAAATTCAAAGAAAACTAATCATTGTCAAATAGGAACTTAAATAGAAAAGAAGAAATTCAGAGAATGGGTAAGTGACTATCATGCAGGTAGCTGTTGGAGTTAACACTCAGAATAATGTACAAATTTGATTAAGAAACCTAATTACTTGAATGTTGATGGCACATTTAAATTGAATTTAGAATGCTCAGAAGATTCACTTCTGTGTAAACTTGGGTTTTGTGCAACAATTATTAATGCAAAATATATTTCACATATGAAATTTGTTTTTTTCTCTCCAGAATGATGAATGAACTAGATAGTCTTGAGCTTGTAAGTATGATTTACTTTCAAATTGAAATTGTCTATTTCCTGCAGTAAGTGCATCAGTAGCTCCCTGCCCTCCATACATCCAGCAGTTCTTAGGTCCAGGCTCTCAAGTGATCTGGTAGAGAGTCATCTAGAGAGCCATCTAGCTGTTGAAGCGAATGATGCCTGATGTTCCAGGCTTGCGTAAGGAGTGAAAGTGGGGAAATCCTGGAAAGAATAAGTAAGAAAAATGAAATAATTTTCTCTCCTCCAATGAGGAGAGTCTTATGCAAATGTAAGGTTTAAGTTCACAAAAGTTTAAATTAACAATAGGCTTCCTGTTCAGCTCCTACAGTAAAATCTTTTGATTCAGTTATGTGTATATATATTCTTTGACATAACTTCTTCATCCATATTTAGATGTAGATTTTTTTAGAGTATTTCTTCATCCTGATTGGTTTTTCTGGGTAGGAAATTTCAGATTTTTGCAACTATAATCTTGGGCTTGTGGTATTTAATGGTGTTAGAAATGTGGCCCAAGATAATCAGAGAAATTCCAACACTTAGGAAAGAGTTCAGTTTCCTATTCTGTAAAATGAGGGGGTTGGACTAGATGATTCTAAGGTTCCTTTCAACCCTAAGATTCTGTAATTCTATCACTCAGGAGTAAGTTCTGTCTTGCAAGAAATCCTGGGAATGGCTTGACACCTCATTATTAAAAGATTCAGTTATAGATTCTTGTGGTTTATGGACCTGATTGGTAACCAGTCCAAGTAGATTTGTTGACTTGGAGCCATCCTCCCTGGAAAACTATAGTGTTATGGTATAGGTTCCATACTATTTCACAGATTTTTCTATTTGTGTCTAGTTCTGGTGGGGCAAGTTTGTTGCTGTTAACTAGAATAACAACAGATATCCTAATGCAAAAAAAGCTGAGCATGTCAGTAGTAGTTTTTGGAAGAAAAAAAAGTTATATCGGACTGTATTTAGAAGAGTGAAATAGATAATAATTATGAGCCACTTGGAGATTTAAATATAAGCATTGTACTAAAAGTTATTTCTGACATTGCCAAATTTTAGACATGGATAAACCTCTGATCTGACCAAAGCAGGATATTCAGGATATTTGTAAAGTTCTTGTACTAGCATATTATACTGTTAATATTGCGTTAAGTCCAATGTAAAATTTTTCTAATCTGCTACAATGTCCTCTTTAATCATAGATCTGTCTCCTTTTCATGCTCTTAGACTACAAATTCTGTTTTTCTGTGACTTATTTTAGAAACTAAGCTATACATTGCTGATATAAGATATGATTATGTTCTCAGTGCTATTTATATTTCCTATTATTTCATAAAATTTTATTTAAAGAAATGAAATCTCTAAGAGTAGATTTTGAAAGTCTTTCTTGATGTTACAGTAGGATCATAGATTTAGAACTCAAAGGGACCTGAAAGGCTTCTGAGTCCAACTTGCTCATATTGGAGCTTGTTTTAGAAGAATTTCATAGACTTCCTTAGAACCCTCTGAGATTTGGGGAGCTACAGGATGAATACAGGGTTCTTTAGAATTACTTATGTTAATTTTAAAAGACTTCAAAAGGTGACAGGTGCTCGGGAAAAGATATTTTGATTAACTAATGATAAATGCATGCATGAAAATGAACCAATTTTCCCAAACTCTCTTCTCCAAAAAAAAAACAGAACAAAAATTGTTCCTTAATTATATAATCACTTTCCCTTTTTTTCACTGTTTCCACATGAATGGGCCATTTTTAAGGGGGAGAGGTAACATATATGTAGTTTTTTTGAGGGGGAGGTCATATGTTAAATACTTCCATTTTGATGTAGCTGATTAATAAGTAATATAAGTTAAGTAAGAGTAGTTAAATAAGAATAAACTAAGTAATGTAACTTATTGAAAATGAGTGAGGCAAAAATCACTTTTTTTTAGTTTGAAGATATTACAACAAACTGATAAACATGACAAGAATAAAAAGTCAGTGAAGTAAATTTGAGACGTTTATAAGTGAGACTTACATAGTGTACAAAAATGCAGAACCACAGCCCTTCCTCTCTAATGGTTTTGTTCAGGTACCCTTATTCTCAGTGGTACACATTGATTTAATGTTTTAATGGAAATGGTAATTTTTAAAAGAAGTCCCAAAATTTACTATTTTATTAAAAATTTTAATATAGTTATATTCCACTACAGTTCTAGTTTGTCATAGTGTATGAGTGACCCTGGGTTCTCAAAATCTTTGTCTGAGGAATGCAAACCCTGATAGGTTCAGTCCTGAAAAGACTTCACCTAGGGGCCCAGTGATGTACTGTAACCTGAAGACCAGCTTATCTAATAGAGGGACTCTTGATGAAAGGACTAATGATTATTTTTTTCTTGGTTGAAGTAGCCCATGAAAATAGTTTGATCATGCACGGGGTTTTTGCAGTGTGTTGATGAAGGAAGTATGCACACAAATGAAACCATAGAGCTTTTGAAGTAGTGAAGGACTCCTAGTTATGTAATGTTTCTATTTAAATCATTGTACATCAAGCAGTAGAATATAGATACTCAAACAAGGGTAATTTGGAGCCTAAATTAACTGCTTGTTCAAAAAATAGTAAATTAAACATCTTTGTTTTTTCATTAATTTCTTATTGTTAATTATCTTGATAACCTATAATTTGAGATACACATGTATTTTTCATTGTCACATAACAATGTAACATTTGCTTTTAGAAATACAAGTTGATTCAAAATGATTTAGATGTAGTAACAGAGGAAAGAATGATATTAGAGAATGAACTCAAAAAAATTAAAGGTCCAGAAAAAACAGAGGTTAGTATGATTTTAGAGTTTAAAAATAACAATAAAGATACTAGTAATTTGGGGTCAGGGCATCAAAAAGATATTTTGACAAATGATTTTGGTTATCCCTAACCTGTGTATTTGAAACAATTCTACTTTAAAAATCATGAAATAAAATAATGCCACTGCCTCAGGGTAATATTTTTAATCAGTTGACATTAACTATCAGGTAAATTTAAAAAAAGACGCAGCTAGGTGGCTTAGTGGATAGAGCACTGGGCCTGGAGTTAGGAAGACCTAAATTCACATGCAACCTCAGACACTTACTAGCTGTGTAACCCTGGGCAAGTCACTTAACCTTTGTTTGCTTTAATCTACCAGAGAAGGAAATAGCAAACCACTCTAGTATCTTTATTAAGACAACCTAATGGACAGTACTGGTATGCTATGGTCCACAGGGTCACAGAGAGCTGGACACAACTGAATGCTAACAAAACTTAAAAAAAAAAAAACCTTTAAAATTTTGCTGTCATCTACAATAGCTTTTATTCATTCATTCAACATTTATTAAATGCCTGCATTATGCAAGTCATTAGCGCATATGTTATAGGGAAAAAAGAGCTGACCTCAGAGTTAGGAAGACTTGGATCCAAGTCTTCTATCACATATATGCATCATATATATATATATATATATCATACATTTGTATATGTGATGTAGGTGTAGTATATATCATATCATATATTACATATTATATATGATCCTGTAGCTATGATTTACCATACATGATATAGGATGTGTTGTATCTATATCTATATATGTGAATCCAAGTCTTCCTAACTCTGAGATCAGCTCTCTTTCCCTTGTAGCATATGTTTTAATGACTTGCATATAGTAGGCACTTAATAAATATGTTGGTTGTTCACTTTGGTTAAGTCACTAAAGCCTCTTAGTACCTCAGGTAATTCTTTTAAAACTATAAGCTGTAAAACAATAGCTGATCTGTTATGGGTTGAGGAAATTTTCTCACCTGGAATCTCTCTAAAGCAATGAAATTACAAATCTGCCTCATTCCTTTTTACTCTCCCTACCCTTTTATCCCTCACCCTCCACTCTTGCCAATTGTTAAGTCAGCAAATCTTTCAGCATTTATTAAGCAATTACCTTGTGTGAGGCACTGTGCTGAGTTTTGGGGATGCAAAAAAGGCTAAAATAAGATACTTGCCCCAAAGGAGCTTCCATTCTAATGAGAGGGAGAAAAACATGCAGTAACTATGCACAAAAATGCAAATAACTATGTACATAAAAAATATATGGAGGCAAATAGGAAGTAATCTCAGAGGGAAAGGACTAGAAACAAGGGATCCAGGGAAGACCTCCTATAGAAAGTAGCATTTGGGCTGAGTCTTGAAAGAAGTCCAGGAAGCTAGGAGGTGAAAGAGGTGAGGAGAAGAGCATTCCAGCCGTGGTGGTCAGCCCCTGCAAAGGCACTCTCTCTGGAGATGGCTGGTCATGTGTGAGGAGTAGGAATTAGGCTAGCATAGCTGGGTGGTTGGGTGTGTGGAGGGAAGGACAATGAAAGAAGACTAGAAAGGTGTTAAGGAGTCAGATAATGAAGGTCTTTAAATGCCAAACAGGATTTCTGTTTATTCCTGGAGCCACTGGAGTTTATGAAGTGGGGGATTGGGGGAGAATGATGTGATCAGACCTGAGCTTTAAGATTACTTTAGGCAGCTGAGTGGAGGATAGGTTGGTGTAGAAAGAAACTTGAGGTAGGGAGAGCAACCAGAACACTATTGCAGTAGTCCAGGCAAAAGGTGGTAAAGTACAGGAGTGATTGTAGAAATGGAGAGAAGGGGATGTACACAAGAGATATTGTGAAAGTAAAAATGACAAGATTTGTTAACAGATTGGATATGTAGATCAAGTGCATCTATCACCTTACAGTAATTAACAATAACAATAATAATAATCTCATTGGCATCACAAATCCTTCATAATTTTTCTCTAAACTAAATTGCTAGGCTTGTTGAACATTATTCCCTGTCACAAACTATGTGGTCTGAACAAACCGACCTTCTTGGTGGTTCTCGTTTCATCTTTTATCTTTTTGTGGACCTGAAACCCCCTCTCCTCATTCTGCTTTTTAGAATTCTTGGCTTCCTTCAGTTTTCGGCTGAGGTGTCACCTCCTCCATGAAGCCTTGGCTGATGCCCTGGTTGCTAGTATTATCCCCATGCTCAAAATCACTTTGTACTGACTTTGTATATATTTTATATACACTTGTATGTGTATATGTCCCTTCCCTACCAGGAGAATGTAAGCAGAGACTCCTTTCTTCTTTTTCTTTGTATTTCCAGCACCTAGTACATTTTCTGAAACACAAAAGGTGCTTAATAAATGCTTATTGAGATACCTAGGTAGTGCAGTGGATAGAATACTAAACTTGGCATCAATGAGACCTGAATCTGGCCTCAAAATCTTACTAATTATGTGACTCTAGGAAAGTCATTTTACTTTTATCTGCCTCAGTTTTCTTATCTGTAAAATGAGGATAATAATAATACAACTACCCAGAGTGGCTATAAGGATAGCATTAATATTTGTAAAAAGCAGTTTGCAAACCTTAAAGTGCTATATAAATACTATTATTATTATTATTATCATATAGTATTTCTGGTATTCCATTTTTTGCCACCTTTCAATGACATGCTAAATAAACTGTACATATTGTGATGCTCCTAGAGCTTTTGAGGTTGGAATTGGCAGCACCTACAAGAAACAATTCCTATTATAGTTTTGTTGTAGAGGTAAGTCTTAAGGATTCAAGGAGTTCTTTAGAAAGGTTTGAAGGTACTAGGGGAGAAAGAGGGAGGTGCAGAGGGAAAAAGAGAAAGAGAAAGATAGACAAATGCAGGCTAATGACCAATTTTTGTGAATTACTGATTGCTTGAGGTTTTCAGAATATTGAGGCTTTCAGAACGTTGAAAGATTTTCAAAATATGCTTAACACACGGCCTTATGCAAAGTAGATGAACCTAAAAATATCTTTGAATGACTGAAGGAAAAAGAATGAATAGTGAATTTGTTTAGTCATTTTTTAGTCATGTCTGATTCTGTGACACCATTTGATGTTTTCTTGGCAAAAGTAGGGGGAATGATTTGCCATTTCCTTCTCTAGCTCATTTTATAGTTGAGGAAACTAAGGCAAACAAAGTTAAGTGACTTGCCCAAGGTCACATAGCTAGTAAGCATATAAGGCTAGATTTGAACTCAGGTCTTCCTGACTCCAGGCCAGGCACTGTTCCACCTAGCTGAACTAGAAATAGGTAAATGGATGTAATTATTCTGATAAAGCATGGTCTTTTTAAAATTGAAAGCTGCCTTTTTCCCTTTATCTTAGAAGATTTTTTGTAAGCTACATTCCCCCGTAAAAGGATGTTGCTATTATCATGAAAATAATTACTCAAGCAGTTAATTAAATGACAAAATGCACCTAGCATTGGCACAGCAGAATAAAATGATAGGCCTTGTGGACTTTATTCTGAGGACAACCAGGACTTCTTGACATTGATGAAATCACAGGTGCAGACTAAAACAAAAAAACAAAACAAAACAAAAACCAAAGGAAACTGGATAGATATTTGCCTATACTGGGTGAACTAAAAGGACTTTAAGAAAATTTGGGGGCATCAGGAGGGGTGGAGTCAAGATGGCAGAGGGAAAGCAGTGACTTGTTTGAGCTCTCCCCCCAAACCCCTCCAAATACCTATAAAAAATGGCTCTAAACAAATTCTAAAGCAGCAGAACCCACAAAAAGACAGAGTGAAACAAATTTCAAGCCAAAGACTGCCTGGATGGTTGATCAGAAAGGTATATTGTGCCGGGCGGTGAGAGGAGCGCAGTGCGGCGTGGGCACGCAGGCCACAGTGACCCTAGAGCAGGCCTCAGAGGACTGAATCGCGGGCAGCTATGGCGGTTTCCAGACTTCTCAACCCAGGAATGCCAAAAACAACTTAGAAGGTCAGTGGGAAAAGTCTGTGCCTGTGGTGAGAGAAGGAGCTAGGTCTCAGCCGCAAGTCTTGAGTGCAGCCCTGGGCCGTGGCTGTTTCCTGAGCTTCCGGCCCACAGACTGAGGGGGAATTGAGTGGCTGATCAGAAGACCATTGCAGGGATCTCTTGCTTTACTGGTGCTTGGATCTGGGTCACAGTTCTGAGGGGTGGTCCTGGGGCGAGGAGGAACACTGGTGTGGTAGTGCTTGTTGTGGTGGTGGAGAGAAAACACCTCGCCCCTTATCATACCACCTTGGAAGAACTGAAAATTTTCAGATCCCTAGAAGTATCTCTGAAAACAGCTGTACAAACCCCCAAAACTTGGGACAGTACATTCTCCATATTGGAAGCAGACTTTTACCTTAACAAAGAGTTTAAAACTCAAGTAATTGGTCGGGATCATGAGTAAGCAGCGCAAAAAGATTCAGACTATATTATCTTGCTTTGGTGACAAAGAAGATCAAAACATATGACCAGAAGAAGACAATGAAGCCAAACCTGATACATCCAAAGCCTCCAAGAAAAATATGAATTGGTCCCAGGCCATGGAAGAGCTCAAAAAGGATTTTGAGAAGCAAGTAAGAGAAGTAAAGGAAAAACTGAGAGTGATGCTAGAGGAGACCCAAAAAGATACTGAAGAAAATAACACCTTAAAAAATAGCCTAACCCAAATGGCAAAAGAAGTCCAAAAAGCCAATGAGGAGAAGAATGCTCTAAAAAGCAAAATTGGCCAAATGGAAAAGGAAGTTCAAAAGATTACTGAAGAAAATACTTCCTTAAAAATTAGAATAGAGCAATTGGAAGCTAGTGACTTTGTGAGAAATCAAGACATTGTAAAGCAAATCCAAAAGAATGAAAAATTAGAAAACAATGTGAAATATCTCATTGGAAAAACAACTGACCTGGAAAATAGATCCAGGAGAGAGAATTTAAAAATTATTGGACTATCTGAAAGCCATGATCAAAAAAAAGAGCCTAGACATCATCTTTCAAGAAATTATCCAGGAAAACTGTCCTGATATTTTAGAACCAGAGGACAAAATAGAAATTGAAAGAATCCACCGATCTCCTCCTGAAAGAGATCCCCAAAGGAAAACTCCTAGGAATATTGTAGCCAAATTACAGAGTTCCCAGGTCAAGGAGAAAATGTTACAAGCAGCCAGAAAGAAACAATTCAAGTATTGTGGAAACACAATCAGGATAACACAAGATTTAGCAGCTTCTACATTAAGGGACTGCAGGGCATGGAATATAATATTCTGGAGGGCAAAGGAGATAGGATTACAACCAAGAATCACCTACCCAGCAAAACTGAGTATAATCCTGCAGGGGAAAAAATGGTCATTCAGTGAAATAGAGGACTTTCAAGCATTCTTGATGAAAAGACCAGAGCTGAATAGAAAATTTGATTTTCAAATACAAGACTCAAGTGGAACATGAAGAGGTAAACAGGAAAGAGAAAATCATAAGAGACTTATTAAGGTTGAACTGTTTACATTCCTGCTTGGAAAGATGATATTTTTAACTCATGAGACCTTTGTCAGTATTAAGGTAGTTGGAGGGGAAAAAATTATATGTACGTATATATAGATATAGAGAGATAGATAGAGGACACAGGGTGAGTTGAAAATGAAGGGGTCATGTCTGGAGAATAAAATTAAGGGGTGAGAGAATTATACTAGGAGAAGGAGAAAGGGAGAGGTATAACGGAGTAAATTATTTCACAAAAAAAAAACAGAAAAGAAAAGGCTCTTACAGTAGAGGGGAAATGGGGGAAGCTGAGAGGCAATGAGTGAATCTTATTCTCATAGGATTTGACCTAAGGAGGGAATAACATACAACTCAATTGGATATGGAAATCTGTCTTACCCTATAGGAAAATAGGGGTGGGGGGAAGGGGACAAGCGAGTAGGGGGATGATAGAGAGGAGGGCAGATTGGGAAAGAGGGTAATCAGAAGCAAATACTTCTGAGGAGGGTCAGAGTCAAAAGAAAGAATAGAATAAATGGGGGGGCAGGATAGGATTAAGGGAAATAGAATTAGTTTTTCACTGCATGTGTACTATGGAAGTGTTTTGCATAACTGCACATATGTAACCTATATTTAGTTGCTTGCCTTATCAATGAGGGTGGGTGGGGAGGGAGGAAGGGAGAAAATTTGGAACCCAAAGTTTTAAAAACATGTTTAAAAAAAATGTCTGCCCTACAGGAAAATTGAAGGGGAAGGGGATAAGAGAAGGTAGGGAGTGATAGAAGGGAAGGCAGACTAGGGGAAGGGGTGTTCAGAATGCATGCCATCTTGGGGTGGGGGGAGGGGTGAGATGGGGTGAAAATAATTTGTAACTCAAAATCTTGTGGAAGTGAATGTTGAAAACAAAAAAATAAATAAAAATTACCATTAAAAGAAAGAAAATTGGGGCATATTGTCATTATTGGTCACCATATTTATTTGATGGGTAGAAATATGAATTTTGGATAACCTTGGCACAGTGAATTTATTGTTGTAGAGAAGGTGTACTCTAAGGGACAAATGCCTGTCTGGCATTTTGTTGGGGCTGTGTTGCAAATCCAATCTAAATGCTATAATAATATAACTTCAATGAAAGGATGATTTTTCCTAGAATATTAAAAGCATTGGTTGTTTTCCTACGTGCACAGAAAGATGTATGGTAGATGTAAACAGCCTGTAGTGTTACCAACAATGGTGCACAAGAATCAGTGTAAAAGACATTATTGAGGACGTATATGGGTGTGAAAAAATCACCCTGGTCAAGTAATGAAAAGAAATGAAAATAAAATAATAGCATATACCTATCAGTATACCTAGACAATAAAAGAAAGCAGCCCCTGCTATACTGGGCAGATCCTCTATGGTGGGTTTAGAGAGAAAACATGGACAAAAATCACACAGGGTGAGAAGTCTAGAAAGGTTGCGTTTTCCCTCAGTGGAGGGCATATCTACAATGATGAAGTCACAGATTCATCATAATATTCAAGTACAGTTGCAATAACCATTGTTTGCCAAACTAATTTGGTTATTTGACCAAATCAAATTTGACTGCAAATCAAATGCTGTTCCCTTACCATATGGTGGTGAACAAGGGGCCCATAACTAAGAATTTTACTCTTGGGGCAAATACTACAAACTATTTTTAGGCTAAGTGGCTTGAAAGGCACCCTCAGTAGGAGAGGAGGGGTTGAGGAGAGGGGGGAGTATGGGGGTAGGGTACCACTCTGTTATTTATTGCAGACCATAGGATACCATGGAGCCAGCCAGTGCTGGTGAAACTACCTAATCCCAGAAGTAGGCCATTTGATAGCTGCCTGTTTCAACTAATTATTCTTGGGTAACTAGGTCAGTTGTTTCATCATGTTTGGCATGCAAGGAGCCTGAATATTGAGGGGTGAAGGTGGAATGGTAACTCTCACAGCAAATAAATAGTTGCTTTTGAGGAAAGGGCTGAATGAGGGGAAATGACCTAGCCAAAGTCAGAGGAAGGTTGATTCAACTCTTTCTGAAATTAATGCTGAGTTGAGGTGAGAAGCAAATGGAAGCCAAGTCTCCTAGCCCACAGATTGTTGGAGCCAGAAAGGACCTTAGAGACCACTTTGTCCATGTACTTAATTTTACAGAGAAGAAAATATAGACTTGGAGTTAATGTGAGAGCAAGAACTAGAGCCCAGATCTCTTGACTTCTAGCCCAATGTTCCTTGAACTGATATGTTGAAATTTGACCTCTGTTCAAAGGACAGGGGTACTGACCCTTACAGAGTAGTGACCCTCTGGATTAATCAGGCTAAACTACTGAGAAGGATGAAACCTGAGTCCTTCTAGGTATACCTTAGCCCCGAGTTCACCTCATGGGAAAGTTTGAGTTGACTGGGTGGGTGAATAAAGTAAAAGGTCCTTGAGATAGGAGACAGAAGTGGGCCCAAGAAAAAATGGCCCTTCAGTATTCCATCCTTTCCCTCTAGTCTCGTATTGACTCTAAGTATAAAATGAAAAAAAAAACCCCTTATCTCCTGATAGCACCGTATGAGGATTTGCTATAATCTGTGATTATTTGTTCTGACTTTATCATTATCTAGCAATTGCTACAGAGAGAGAAGATATTCTTGGAGTTACAAAGGAAAAAATTAGAAAAAAAAGCATCCAGAGACTCAAGACTTGGAGATCTAGAAAAGTAAGAAATAAGGATAAGGGATAATTTAAAAAAAAAATGGATTCACATTGTTTCCATGCACTTTGTATTCCAGCTGATCTCTACTATTCTCTCCTTTGACCATGGCACTCTCATGGCTTTATACCTTGGCTCACATTATTACCTAGACCTGGAAGGCTCTTCTTACTTCTCTTTGTTTGTTGAATCCCTACACATTCTTTAAACCCTAATTCAGATGCCACTTCTTCCAGGAAACCCTCTCTGAACCCTCAATTAGTATATATGCCTCCCCTACCAGCTCTCACATGGAGCTTGGTTTTGTAACTTGGAGATGTACTCATCATATAACTTTGTGTATTATAGTTGTATATGCTAGTAATTAGTATTTTTATCTTCATTCTCCCCTTCTTCCCATTCCAATGAGCGTGTAAGTTCATTGAGGGCAGGAATTTATGTAAACTATGTATCTTCCTGAAAGGCCTTGCAGAGTGCTCAAGCACATAGGTATTTAATGTTTGTTTTATCATACATCAAGAATAACTGCAAACATTTTTTCACCAGACCCCTGATTGTATTAGTTTAGAGAACTCTCCTTGTGTAAGGAAGTTCAGCCCCTGTCTCAGGAACTTAGAGTCTTAGACAGGTGACTGGGCCACTGGGAGTGACTTGGCTTCCCCAAGGTCACACAACTAGTATGCCAAGTATTCTGACTACCAGGCTGGCTGTTGACATATTTTGCCATGCTACCTCCTTATTAAACTGAGGCAGCTGGAGCCAGTTAATTGAAAGGCATTTATTAAATACCAATTACATTTCATGATGGGCAGCTAGGTGGTATAGTGGGTAGTGTGCTGGGCCTGAAGTCAGAAACACTCATCTTCCTGAGTTCAAACTAGCTGTGTGACCCTAGGCAAGTCACTTCACCCTTTTGCCTCAGTTTTCTCATCTGTAAAATGAGCTAGAGAAGGAAATGGTAAACAACTCTAGTACTTGCCAAGAAAACCCCAAATAGGGTCACAAAGAGTTAGACATGGCTGAAAAACGACCAAACAATATTTCATGAACTATCCTTGGTGCTAGAGATATAAAGATAAAAACAAAATGGCCTCTGTCCTCTATACATATATACATGCATGTGTGTATGTATGAATATATGGATATATACATACATACACATACACACACATAAAGTAAATGCAAGTTAATTTCAGAAGAGGAAGCAGGTACAAACTAGATGAATCAGGAAAGGCATTATGTAGGGGGTAGTACTTGATCTGAGCTTTAAAGGAAGCTAGAGATTCTGAGAGATGAAGGAGAGGAGGGAGTACATCAAAGGTCTGGGCATAGGCACAGAGAAGGGCAATGGGATAATGTATGTGAGGAATAGGAAAGATGTAAATTTACCTGGACAATAAGAGTGCGAAAGGTAATAATGTAGACTAGATGTGGAAAAGTAAGGTCAAGGCAGATTATGAAGTGTTTCAATTATCCACAGAGGAGTTTTTAATTTATCCTAAAAACTACCTCACAAACCACTTTATGTTCTAATGAAGTTTGAGTATCAGCCTCCCAGCAAAGTTGTAATAGTTATAAGTTGTTACTAAATCTTGTTTTAAGTTTGTTTTTGTTAGAAATACTGTACTAAAGATCCTGTGTTTAGCATTTGTGCATATGTGTGTTTGTCTGTGTGTGATCTGTCCCATTTACAATGAATGTCTTTTTACTCCCTCTTTTGGAAGGCACTAAACATGAGCCATGACCTAATTTACTATAATCACAATTGTCCTGGCATCAAGAGGTAGGCATCTCAATGAGTCAGTGATTATAAGAACATAAGGATCCTTCTTCTTAGAGGCAAATCCCCACCTTTAGTTGAACCTAGTCTAGACCTTATACCTAGATACAGAATCTGGAATGAGTTTGGTGCTCTAGACCCTGCCGATCCAGCTGAGCAGTTCCTTAGTGCTAACCTAGGTAATATATATTTTAATACACACTGACTTGTGATGCTTATCCCCTATAAAAGACCACTGGATATGTCTGATTCTTGCTCACTATTATCTAGTCTATTGGAGTGATCCATTTTTTTTATTCAGAATCATGTTTAGATAATTGCTGTTTTAAAGTATTATTTAAAGTATTATTGTACCTGAGAGTATCGATTTTTTCTTTTTCTAACTCTTAAGTGGTATTGGACCAAATCTATAGATTAATTTGGATGGTGTTATTATCTCTACTATATTAGCTCAACATAACCATGCATATTGAACATCTCTACAATTACTCAGTTCTGTAAACAGTGCTTTACAGTTGACTCTATATTTTAGTCATATGTCTTTATAGAGTAATTCCCATATACGCATCTATACACACATTTTGTCATATTTTAAATTGTGTTTCTCTATTACTTTTTCAGTTAAAAAAATTTTTTTTGGGAGGTAATATAACTAAATCACAGAATTTCACAGTTAGTACAGAGTTAGGACCTTGGGACCATGTGGTCAGTCCAACCCATACTTGAACAAGAATGCTTTCTACAACATACTGACATGGTCATTTAGTCTTTGTTTTAAGACCACCATTGGGAGGGAATACACTACCTTTCTAGGCAGCACATTTTGCTCTTGATCCATCATGAGGTATATGTGTTTGAGAATGAATTTTTCATGGAGAAGTTAGATTTGATGGTTCAGGACCTTTTTTTT